GGGTGCGCTGTGTTCCAGAGGAAGACGGTAGACATGAAGCCATCAATTACCAAATAAATTAAATACACACTCCCAGTACTAAGACTTTTTTACTCGTTCAGGACGGAATTGCGACCCTATGCATCCAGGCTCGCCAGTAAATGTGGTCAGATACATTTGAGACAACATTCCTGGTGTGAGACCGCCCAGTATGTTTCCAATATCAAATCGAGGCCGGGGACCTCGCAATTCAACCCGAAGTAATCCCGGCAGCCTTAGCCGGTTTCGCTTACAGCCTGCAAGGCTGGGAAACATACTGCGTAACCACTCTGCTGTTCTTCAAGCAATTTTAAAGCGAACCTATTCTATTCAAAATTATAGCACTTTTACTCACTGAGTATGAACCACAATGTCCATCAAAGCAGAACGGTCCTGGATTTCAACATCCGTGGACACCTCGTTTTTTTTTTTTAATGCTGAAAGGGCGACTGCCTTGAGATATCATCATTGAACTGACCGGCCCCAGGTTGGTAATTCAGAATGATTTTATTCTGGTCATCTGCGGCCAGGTCCCACTGGCGTGTGTTGTTCATTCCCGACCGCCGCCCGTTAAAAATAATAATAATAATAATAATAATAATAATTAAAAAAAAAAGCGTACAAATTACACGAGATTTCAAATCCTGACAAAAAAATTCTGACAAAAATTAAGTATAGTGATCGTGTTGACCACCCGGGTACCGAAGTTTCAATTTTCTTACTCAGAAAAAAAGGAATAAAAAAATAACAATACAGAAAATTAACATGCGGGAATAGGCTTAGTAGGAAAAAGCTACATAATTAAAAAAAAAAAACATAAAACCACTAAACAATAAAGAATAAAAACTTAAATAAAGGGAAAACTGCGCCGCAGTCACGAAAACAGTTTAAAATTGCACTCCAGGCATTCGGCCTGAAAATGTCCAATGTATACAAACTAGCTTTCCAGTCAGGAGGGGGTGTTTTTTGTCCGGGGGAATTGCCTCAAGTGCAACTTCAACCTGCTTTTGTAGTTACCCCAAACAGAATACCAAGGGTTCAAAAAAATAATAATACGGGAAACCTCAACATAATCATAATTGAAAAACATTACAGTATAATACACTAGGAATAGTCGAAGTACGAAAAGCCTTAAAATTTTCATAATTGGGAAAAAAAAAGGGGAAGCCTACATAACGTGCAAGTGTCCCTCCCAGGAGCTTTTCACTTCCCATATATAGTAATATCAGTGCAATGACTTGCTTCAATAGGTGTGCGTAATCGATATTTCGTTCCTACTTAGGTGTGTTCTAGTTTGGAAGCCCTACCATTTCCCGACGCCAACAATAATCCACGTACATCACTTTCGGAAACGAGGAAATATATATATATATATATATATATATATATATCGTCACAACATATTAATACATATATATTCCTAGAAACAAAAAAAAAAAAGCGGCCCCTGGTCCTGGAGGATTATCAAATTCACTGGAAAGCCTTCTATATATACCCGCGGCCCTCTGGTTATGGGTGAGATTAGGACGGTTGGATTTCTAACAAGGTTTGCCGGCAGAAGGATCAAACAAAAAAAGAAAAAAAGGTAAAGAGGAAAAGAAAAAAAGAAAAACACTGCGGAACTTCGGCAGCACCACAAATGTTCGGTACCTTGCGACAGATTTTGCCCTGGAGCATCTAACCGCAATCACGGTCAAATTCATTCGCGTGCATCCTACCATGTGCATGCCCCTAATCAGCCCAGATATGTCTACCATCCTCAACTGAATTTGGCCTTGATTGCGGTTAGATGCACAGGGAAAGTTCTGGCGTGAGCATGCCCCTAGGCAGGCAGGTCCGCAAGGGAAAGTCTGTCTAGGATATCCAACCCTAATCACGGAAATCGGATTCAACATCGGATTCACGCGCTTTCAACTCCCACTCACCGGGGACGATAACCCACTAGCGCAGCGAATTGGATTAAGCCCCAGAATCTGGGCGTGTTTTACCCAGAGATACAGAAAAGCATTTCAATCTCGGTTTCCTGCACCTTTCCACGAACACATCCAGATTCAGGCGTTCAACCCAATCAATCCTTATCGCTGAAAGAACCTCGCCCTGACTATCAAATAAATTTTTCGAGAAGCGGCCGTCTCGTACCCTCAGAAAACGAAATAAACTCCATAACTACTTAAATTCCAAGATTAAAAAAAATAATAAAAATTTCCAAATTACCAAAAACCAAATCCACTTCACAACCAGCACCACCAGAGGTGCCCCGTTGTGAAGGGGGGGGGGGGGTGAGAAGGGGGAGATGATACAAAAGAAATCACCAGCTATCAAATCTTGAACACGAATGTGGTTGCTACGGGGTTTCCCGAAATACGACGATGATAACCGATGGCCTCAAAAGCCATCTTGCAGGACTCGCTAAGTAATTGAAAGTTCAGCTTATAGAAATATCCTTCGGGGAAAAAAAAAAAATCCATCTGAAGAAAGAAACAGCAAAACAAAAAGACAACTATTACGCAGGTCAAAATTCCGTCAAATAGACCGGCTTTCAAATCCATCAGGGAAAAATAAAATCCAATTCAACGGCCAGACACTCTGTAGACAAAATCGAGTTCACCGATATGAATCCAAATCAAAAACAAAACCAAAAATAGAATCCAAATTCACCGAATCAATTAACAAAAAGCTAATCTACTTCGCCTCAAAATCCAGTGCACCTAAAAAGCCACGTCACTAAAATCGAGTTCACCGATATGAATCCAAATTAAGAACAAAACCAAAAAAAAATCCAAATTCACCGAATCAATTAGGAGTTCACCGATATGAATCCGAATTAAAAACAAAACCAGAAAAAGAATCCAAATTCACCGAATCAATTAAGAAAAAGCTAATCCACTTCGCCTCAAAATCCAGTGCAACGGCTAGACACTCGGTAGACAAAATCGAATTCACCGATATGAATCCAAAATTGAAAACAAAAAAAAAAGAATCCAAATTCACCAAATCAGTGAAGAAAAAAGCTAATCCACTTCGCCTCAAAATCCAGTGCACCTAAAAAGCCACGTCACCAACGGCTAGACACTCGGTAGACAATCCAATTCACCGATATGAAACCAATAAAAAGAAAAAAAACAGAGAATCCAAATTCACCGAATCAATTGAGAAAAAGCTGATCCACTTCAGATTAAAAATCCAGTGCACTTAAAAAGCCACGTCACCCAAAAATCATTTTCACCTAATATCAATTCCAATTCACCGACATCAACTACAATTCTCCGGACATCAAATTCACCGGCTATGTGCCTCGCTGCACTACTCTCGAAATGTGCAAAACGAGAGTGAATCTTCCGTTTGAATATGGAAAGATGCACGGCCATTATTTTTGTCTTTTGTGCATGTCGAGAGTAGTGCAGCGAGGCCCTATCATACCGAATGTATAATGTTCCAAACCCTTGAGAAAACAAAAAAAAAAGTGACATATTGATCTCTTCACAGATTGTCAACGACATCAACTTCGAGACGGCCGTACTTTTTTTTAATTAAAAAAAAAGTGGCCTGCCGCATTCACTACGAGTCCCAGGCCCAGTCCCAGGCCTGGTCCCAGGCTCAGGACCGAATAGAAAACCCGAATAGAAAACCGCTAACCCCGTATACCGGTAAAAGCACTGCTTACGTTCATGTGAACTATCGTCTTCACCTGAGTAAAACGCCCGGGCATTATCACTGCATCTGGTCTGAAAAGTGCCCCAAATACAGCTACAATGACCAGCGTCCTACTTGGGTGAAGACGGTAGTGGTTCAATGCTCATCATACCTTGCACATCGCGGACAGGCCTACCTTTCAAAATCGCTGACGATGCGAGCAGTCGCGGAAGCAGCAGCCGACAAACGAGTTGAATCAGCTGGATTAATGAACCTGTACGCGTTGACGACTGCATACCGAACACCTCCACCTTCCGACACAAGCCACGAACAAGTTATATCCTGTTGAAGCTATAAAAAACAACTCCATTATCAAGAGAGCAACGTATTCACACTAATTCCGTTAAGGTCCACAGTTTTCACAAAACACAAACTGTAATCAAACTCGAATCCTGCAACACGCTTTCACACTCTCATTCTATTATTCGAATGACCTACGAATCAATCAGGATTCAGGTCCACAATTTTCACAAAAACAAACTGTAATCCAACCCAAATACTGCGTTCCGTCTCCAACGCATAACACTCCCAGACGGGCCAACACTGCGTGCCTCCTAGATGTTTCCGCCGGGCCAGCGGCACGGGTTCCGTGCCCCCCGTGATCACCAAATGAAATTAAATAGGCCGGCGCCTCGCGGCGGTAACAGTCAACGCTGGGCCCGTCCATTTACATTCATTTCACTTGGAGTCATCCATTCCATCCGGTATGGTTCTGTTCAACAACACGGAGGCACGACGATCGATCGATGATACATCTACAAAACCAATTCCAACATGTTCACAAAAACAATGCAATCACACTTGAATCCTGCAGCAGCTACAGAATCCATTCCACCATTTAAAACAAACGCAAGGAAACAGCTCCACCCTTTTCGAAAGCGCAACGTATTCACACCCCAATTCTTTTATTAGACGAGCTAGGAATCAATTCCATCATATTCACAAAAACAAATTGAATGTAATCACACACTCCAATCCTGCAACAGCTGCAAAACCATTCCACCATTTTCGACAAGAGATAAGAAACCACTTTTCTCAAAAGAATAACGTATTCGGCGATTCGCACTCCAATTTTGTAATTAAAAGGGCGAAGAATCAATTCCACAAAAAAATTCACAAAAGCAATGTTATCACACTCAAATCCTTCTCACAGCTAGAAAAAAAAAATTCTCAAAAAAGACGAACAGCACAATGTATTCCAGAATACAATACAAATTTCCAACTAACGATACCACGCTCCTCACTGAACTCCTCTCATATTCGTCTCCCGTGATTCGCCATTCATGTTCTCTTCCCTGTTCCATTCATTCTCTCCGTGGTCAAATTGACAACGGGAAAAATTCCATTTGCAAATAATTCGCAAATCTCTCAAGGTAGTGAACTTCCATTTACATTCAATTTCCACCCTCCATCCATTCGCAAATAATCCACACTCGCACATGCTCACAAACGCAACAGCTGGGAGTACATCTATATTATATGTATAGCTCCTTTCTCTGTAGACGAGCAGATCTTCCCTCATCCATTACCAGGGTCGCTCTGCAATAACACAAGCAATAACACCGCCCCCCCCCGCCATCATCAAGACCGACATGACAGCCAAATTGATTATCTGCTGCCGATTCCAAAGGCAGCAATTACAAATTGAATGCAATTCTTCCCGAAGACGACAAAAAGTACATCTCGACGGAGAGAAACTCCCCATACCCCCCGACTCTCTCTCTCTCTCTCTCTCTCTCTCTCTCTCTCTCTCTCTCTCTCTCTCACTCTCTCTTACAACATTTAGAATAAAAACTGAGAAAGACCGGCTGAACAAAGGTGAGTCGGCCATGGTAATCGAGCACGGACAAAAAGTAGGATCGTTCTTCTGGTTGCCCGTTCTATCTTACCTCAACGTGAACGAGAGCAGGCTTGAACCCTCGACCTGCGAGAAGAAGGCGAATTGACCCTCCACAGGGCCGGCCGAAGAACAAACACGCCGAGTTTCGACAAATAATTCACTTCGTCGTCAATCGGAAGGTCGATCCACCCACCACAGCAAAAGACAACTTCAAAATGAGACCTCCACATAACCATAGCAAAACGACCATCTCCACCACAGCGATCATCTCTAGATGGGTGCTCCCCAAAGAGCAATGACTCCACCAGAGGCCATCTCTGAAGAACATCTCCAAAGAAATGACACCTCTCTCTCTTTCTCTCTCTCTCTCTCTCTCTCTCTCTCTCTCTCTCTCTCTCTCTCTTCCCACACAGACCCCGAAAAATGGCATCACCACAGATTGATCGACGTTCTCACCGAGCTCAAGCGGACCGTTAAAATAGAACCGACAGCGTGATCCCATCGACCACCTCCACCTCCAGCTCTCTCATACTGAGAACTCCTCTGATCGCCGAACACGCGTATTTGGTCATCCGAGCCTCCAATCCAATGTGCCCATGGTCAGACAACGGAACCCCCGCCCACGAAGCGACGGACTAGCACTCACCTTAACGGTGAAGGTCTCACCCAACCAGAGAGATGGTCAGACAACGGAACCCCGCCCACGAAGCGACGGACTAGCGCTCACCTTAACGGTGAATGCCTCACCCAACCAGACAGATGTCAGCACAGCGAACGAACATCTCACCACGTGAAAATGATTATTTCATGAACTGAAAATACAACCGAGCCAGGAAACTGCCGACTAAAGGCGGCAGCAGCAGCCGAATACTATCAATTAAGGCAGCAGAAGCAGACGTATAACGCCGAAAAGCAAATAACTCACCATAGTCGAAGAGACCGCGCACCCACGACGATGGAACTCCATCCACACCATTCTCACAATCATCGAAGAGACGGAACAAATTTGCAGACGAAACGAAGCAGCTCCGCCGACAGTCCCGACCGACCTCACCCGCAGAAGTCAGACCGCTCTCCGAAATTGCAGCAGCCGTAGCCAGCAGCCATAGTAGAGCATTAACAATAACATAAGCCCTCCATGTGAACTGCCGACTCTCCGTGCTGAAAGAGTTCATCTTCAAAGAAACGGCTAACAAGCATTTGACGAATCGGCAGATGCAACGAAGTAAATCCGCCGACAGTCCCGACCGACCTCACTGCGCATAAACCGGACCGATCTCAGAGATAGAGACATCCGTACCAAGCAGCCACAGCAAGCAGACAGCAAAGCATGAACATTGAACTCTGACATCATCCCTCCATGCTGAATGCCTAGACTTAAGTGTTGAAAGCCGAACGCCGTAAAAGACGGAACAAATCGGCAGATGGAACGAAGTAAATCCGCCGACAGTCCCGACCGACCTCACTGCGCATAAGCCGCACCGAGCTCCCAGAGAGATTGAATCAGCAGCAGGAGCGCAGCCAGAGGACACGTTAAATGCCGAGCCTTCGTGTCGAAAGCCGAACGTCGAAGAGACGGTACAAATTTGCAGACGAAACAAAGCAGATCCGCTGAGAGTCCGCCGACTGACCTCGGCATGCATAAGTCGGACCGAACGGCCCGAGAGATTGTATCAGCAGCAGGAGAGCAGCCACAGGACAGACACAGACATCATACCTCCATGTCGGACAACGAACCTCCATCGTTTTGCAATCAAGAATATATCACCCGATCGAGTCGGAGCACGCACTCCTGCCCCGAACAGAAAGCAGATAAGCCTGTAATCACCCCAACTACTCCTCCCTCCCTCCCTCCCCACCCCCTCGCCACCTCTCGCGGCCTTTTTCACATCGCCATGCCACTCCCACCATCGAAGGTATGACTAAACGACAAAATCCACCCGCGATTGCTGAGGCGCAAACGGATAACTTGCTCCGTACATTTTAGTGTATGGGATCGGAATCATCAGGACGTCCGGATCGTAAATATCAGAACCGTACTTCAAAAGAGCAGCGTACTATCGTGGTTAAAAATTTCTCAATATCTGATCTGAAGCGTATTATCGTGGTTAAAAATTTCTCAATATCTTATCTGACACTCTTTACGGGGACTGCAGCAGAACTTCGTGTACTCAAAAATTGTGGAAGCCGTGACTCCCGTGAGTGGAGTAGAAATAGCACCTCTCTACCACATTAAGGGTGAGCGGATTCACGACAGTGTCAGGTGTGGAGTAGAAACAGCACCTCTACCACATTAAGGGTGAGCGGATTCACGACAGTGTCAGGTGTGGAGTAGAAACAGCACCTCTCTACCACATTAAGGGTGATCGGATTCACGACAGTCTATTACCGTTAAACTGCTCAGGTCAAAAATCTGATGCCTAGGCAACCCTAGTAATTTCGACTAAAAGAGGAAACAGAAAAGGCCACCTGATGTTGTCCATGGAGAAGAACCGGAAACACCGAACAACAACGAGAGCCACACAGGAGAGAAGACAGCCCGCCGCTCTGAAGCGTGAGAGAGAGGGAGAGAGAGAGAGAGGAGATCGGTAAACCCTCAGTCAAAAGGGCAAAAGAAGACGATAGATACCTCTCTTCTCGTTCTCTTTGTCTTTTCTCCACACCTCGCAATTCCGACCGACCACCTCTTCAATCACCTACTTTCTCCTATTTCTTGGAAAGACTCGAACGCCCAACCTTTCCACATCACCTTCTCGTCCTCCTCCTCCTCAAAGACCTACCTTCTCCTGCAGCTTCTTGATCTGATTGAGCAGAATCCAAGTGATCATCGCGTGCGGCGCAATCCTGCAGTAATACGTAGGAAAACCGGTGTAGAACTTCAACGGACCGCCGGATTTGAACGTCTGCACTGCGCAATCAAGCGAGCCGGTGTAGGGCATCTTACCGTCAGGACCAGGCTGCATCTTCTGGATCTGCGTCTTCACATAGTCGAAGGGCAAACTACACGCAGCGGCAAAGAAACCGGAGACAGCACTGCTCGCGTAAACAGTCTGGCTCTCACTGAGCCCTTGCACATCGCGGAAGTACTCGACAGCCTGATCATAAGAAGCAAGCATGCCCATGTTCAGTGCCATACAACGAACGACGGTAGGGCCGGATCCCCTCCACATCCCGATAACACCCTCGTCCTTGGTGATCTTCGCCATCGCATCGAACACACTCGTGTAATTGCGACGCTGATGTAGAGGAAGAGTATTGTCCGCTTGCATTCGAATAAGAGACAGGTCGGCGGGATTTCCGACGCTAGCGCCCACTGCGCCCGCCGCCAGACCCAGCGCCGCCTTCTGCACAAGTGGCAACGGCTTCCCGTCGTTCTTCTCGATCGCCCAATCTGACAGACCCCTAAAGGTTCCCAGCCTTGCCGTCGTGTAGGTTGCCTGTCGGAGCAACCCCGCCGACAACCCCTTGTAAAGCGCGCCGAATCCTTCATTCCGAACGATATCCTTCGTCACTTGCACGGCCGATCCCGCTCCCAATTGGATACGCACTTTCACCATATCAATGGGCTGCACGACGCAAGTCGCACCCATGCCAGACAGACCTCCGTTCAAGAAAGGCTTTGCAGCAGTCCACGCAGCCATCGAGGTACCAACCTGCTTCTTCTGTTCCGCAGCGGCCGTCGCCATCTTCGTTGTTGCTTCTTGTTGTTATTGATCGCTTATGCTCTCGTGCCTTCCACCTCTCTCCCGAGAGAAACCTGCACGGCCTAACGACAGAGAGACGGCACCGCACTTTCCCTTCCCGCTAGATAAGATCAACACAAAATCACTTGGATAGTCGATGCTTCCCAACTGCAATCAAACCACCTCGACCTGCACAAAATAGTAAGAAAAACGACGACCAAACAGATACGGATCAGAACCTACCTGTACTCCGTCTATCGCCTAGACTTCAGAGTGACAATCAAAGAGTGCTGACGGCCGAAGACGGTGAAGCAATTGATGGAAAGCCGAACGAGACACAAACACCATACACAAAGATAGAGAGAGAGTGAGAGAGAGAAAGGGAGAGCCTCGAAGAGACAATTGCTAAAGCGTGGAAACGAGCATGCAATCAACGACAGGTCAGGAGAAAAGACACACGGAGAGAGAAAGATACACAACGAAAAAGACAGAGAGAGAGAGAGAGAGAGAGAGAGAGAGAGAGAGAGAGAGAGAGAGAGAGAGAGAGAGAGAGAGAGAGAGAGAGAGAGAGANAGAGAGAGAGAGAGAGAGAGAGAGAGAGAGAGAGAGAGAGAGAGAGAGAGAGAGAGAGAGAGAGAGAGAGAGAGAGAGAGAGAGCGCAAAGAAAGGCAGTGATAGGTGAGGGATATGGCCAGCGTTCCTCTACTTTCTACAGGACGAGAGCAAGAGAAATTGAAGAGATCAAAACTTCGGCGTGACCGACAAAGCAACGAATGGAAATCCAGACGTACGAAAATACAGGTACACAGATAGAGAAAGACAGAAGACAGATAGATGAGAGAGCGAGAGAGGGAGATAGCCAGAGATCGGACATCAACAATTACTAACAAGTGGAGACCAAAAACAAATCACATACTAGTCAAAAGCAGAAACAGACACGGAGACAAAGACACCGAGAGAGAGAGAGAGAGAGAGAGAGAGAGAGAGAGAGAGAGAAGGATGAACAAGCCATAAGATCAGCCTCACTTCACTTCGCCTACAGGCCTAGGGTAAGGTTAGCAAACCTTCGCCGTCGCAGATTGCCGATAGCCGCGTTTGGCACCCACGACCGTCTAGATCGGCTATGGTTGACGCGACTCCTAGGAATCGCGACACCACAACAATCTTCACGGCGTGGCGTGCGGATCTGCGCTCTGGAGCATTTAGGTTTCCCTACCCAAACAACATGTCCAACTTTTTAAGGACTGATGCTACTCCACCCCGCCCTACCACACCATAGGCGCGCTGATTTCGCAGCTGCCGGTAGGACGCGTGTGCGGGAGTCATGGGGGGCGCCGAAAGAGAGAAGACTGAAAAAAAAGCACAGGGCACCCCAAGCGATTGGAGGATGGACGGCTGCCAGCCTTCCATTTGTGCCACGGCGGACGGGAAAATACGACAGTAGCGATCCAGACGAGCTTTGGGATTCTTTTTTTTTCTTTTTTTTTTTCTTTTTTTTTGGAAAAAAGTGAGAGTTCCACTGACGCCGGGAATAAATTAAAAAAAAAAAAAAAAAGACTGCTCGCAAACAAGTCGGTACGACTCAACACTGGACTACTGGGCGAACCCACCAAATGTTCAGTGAGCAATAAGCTCAAGCTTTGGGATTCTCATTTTCCCCCAGCACACGCCAGCAGGCATAAACTTCACACAGGACTTTTCCGGTTGAAGGAATCAACGTGGAAAAGGCGGTGATTCGATCACCTGACCGCTCCCAAGGTTTTTTTTTTTTTTTTTTTTTTACCAGTCCATTACAATGCTCCCAAGTTTTTTTGCATTCCGTTTACTTCGAACGAAATATTCTCTCGTGCCCCCCCGCCAACCGTCAGCGGGCATACACTTCACACGGGACGACTTTCGCAGTTGATGGATTCAACATGCAGGAAGATTCGATCCCGAGACCGCTCACTATCATTTTCCTTTCCCCTTTATTTTTTGAACGAAATACTCAGCCTGGTCTCCCGTCGCCTCGGAATTAGATGCGATTAGTACGGTAGAGAGTTGTGGGGTAGTTAAACCACCACGGTCCACCAGTACTCGCCCCATACATCGGCCGCGGGGCTTTGTCGTTCACGCCCCGCGACTTCCGGAGGCCTGGGGTACACGACCTGAACGGCTGGCGCCGCCAGCCAAAACTTTTTTTTGGGGTTGCGCTGGCGGGTCGGCACGAAACGGCGCGCAGGCCGTTTTCAGGCTTGGCATCGATAGCTAAGCCAAGTACTGGTGGTTTAACTACGGGCCTCGCCACACCAATGTCGAAATCGTGAAAATTTTTAAACTGTCAGAGCATTTTCGACATTGAACTTCACGGCTTCTACACAATGGCTGTCTTCGCCACACTGTATGTCGAAGACCTAGGATAAAACGGGGGGGGAGAAGAAGAAGAAGAAGACACGAGATGTTGAGGCTGCGTCCTGAAAGATGTCTAAATCCGCACATCTTTTCACAAGCTCCCTTTTGCGGTTTCGAGTTGGAAACAGCCCTTGTCGAAAACTCTTCACTCACACACGTCGAGAAGATTCAGGAGAAAAGAACTCAACACCTGGTGTGGCTATTCACAAATGTCGAAAAACTAGTTTTCGACACTTCTGTGGTGAGGCCCTAAGATGCCAAGGAATAGTTATCAAATGTAGGTTGGGGTGGTTGGGGTTTTTGTGTCGTTTTTGTTTAGTGTCGTTTTGTTTTGTTTTGTTTTGTTTTGTTTTGGTTTTATTTATTTTGTTTTTCCCCTCTCCAGTCGGGAAGGGGTTTATTTTTGTGGGTTTCCCACTTACAGCCCAATCAATTTGGGTTGGGCTTGGCTTGGGGGAAGGGGTTCTCCCTCGTGTTCTTTTGCCCTGTGCAGTGCAGGTATTACGGGCTTCTGGGGGTGGGTCTGGTGGGGTTCTCCTTCCGTAAGCTCTAAGGGTCTTTTTTTTTTTTCCTCGGATATTGTAAGGACCCGCTCTCAATATTTTTTCCTTTTTTTTTTTTTTATAGATATATTATTATCTCAAAATTTTCATCATCTTTCGAATTATTTCAATTCACCTTCAATACCTACTTTCCACTACTCCTAAGGCTAATACAGGGGACCCCTGCGAACAAAGCTTTGTTGTCTCCCTCAAGACATCAGAGGGGATGCATCATGCATGTTGCCCCCCACCCCAACTATGGTGGACATTGGTGGTCAAGGATGGGGTGGGGTCACAGGTGGGGGTACGACTAACGCTAAAACCAAGCATTTTGCCATTAGTTGTGCTTCCGTTTCCATCGCCCCCCATCCCCAACCGAATAACAGTTGTGTCCAAGGCCAACACTCTCTCACACACCAAACACAACACACTCACACTCACACTCACACTCACATCCTTGTTGGTCAAGGACCCTGCTAATACCGGTCAGAGGAATGAAGCACACTATCACCACTGGTTGGCACTAAGAAGCACAACAACCTAGCTCAGTTGGTTAGGCACACAAGTGGCATTCAGGAGGTTGCATGTTCAAGCCCCACAACCACTAGCATTTAAATTAGGATTTTGAGGTGCACTCTGTGTATGGGTAACAAGTCTTATTAAAAAGGCCTTTAGTTCCTTTTATAAATGGCATAAGAAATTTCTTGAAAACTTCAGGCCTCCGTTAAAGCACCAGTACACTACAAATTGGCCCGCAGGTGTCAGCACGAAACCCGCACCACTTTGGAGGCCGCTGATTTTTTTTTCCCATGACGTGGAGTGTCGCGCGGCACCTTCGAGTTTTGCTTGTGGGGACAAAAACATTTTGCAAGACTGGGGCCGTGTACTGGCGGTTTAACCTTCTCTGCTTAATAGGGCCGACACTGCTAGACAAAATATGAAATCTCATCCATATTAATCGAAATGTCTTTCTAGATCAAAACAAATCATAGGCAGTGGAAGTATGAGGTGAAACTCATAACATACCATTTGGTAGGGAAACAAAATTAGTGGATTGGGTGGCAGAAGCATTATTAGGAAGTCTTAAGGACTCCAAATCCCTCCGAAGGTCGCCATGTGAGGCCGCGCGATTTTTTGCACGACTGTATTTCGGGGTTGGAATGGGAGGGGCCCACCTAATAGCACAAATGCCCCCGTCGTTTTTAAAAAGATTGGTCGCATGGTGGTTGGTAGTTAGAGCGCGCATTAGCGAGCGTGGAAATAACTTGTGGTGTAACTTCTTTCTTGTTCTGCTGAAAAAAGGAAGGGACTTTGGTAAAAAACTTTTTGAATCTTGAAATACAGGGGAATACGGGAAATATAATTCTAATTAGACGAGGAACTAGGGGCATCGTAATTTTGTCGTGGATTTTGCTCCTGTAATCGCACGATCTTCCTTACTCGCGCGCACTTTGCTGCGCCTTATCATGCGCTCTGTTCTCGTTGCGTTCATTCTAATCGTAACTGTAATCTCTTATTGTTCCGTCTTGGCGAATACGGGTGTAATTATAACTCCATCTTGATTTACTTCCACGCTAAAACTTGCGTCATTTTCTGTCTATCTCATTGACCGAGAAGATGCATGACTAAATCGATGCATGGAAAGTGGCTACGTCCCTCACGCCGCAGCCCGGTCATACAGTTGTAGGCACTTCCTTCTTCTCTCCTCCTTTTGCTTCAGCATCATGCTAAATTATCTTGCCCAAATACCGAGTGCTATAAATTTCACAATCGCAATTAATTCGCTCTCTAATCTATACTTGGGAGTTAGCTTGGTCGAGAGGATCGGTTATTGAGCAGAGACCGGACGATGAGTAGGGAGTTGGGTGATTCGACGAGTTGATGCTCAGTGTGCAGGGTTGACGCATGGCCGCGAAGGACTGCAGCATGCGGACGAACCTCACTGCACGCTCGGATCAAGCGGGGTGACAACTCTATTATTGTTGGTAAATGTAGGGCGACGGAATGCGTGCATCAAAGAAACATTGAGAGGGAGAGAGAGCGAGGTGTTAAAGTGGTGTTTTCTCTTCGCATCCTCTATATAATTTTGATTTTGATCTTCGTCATCTTCGTTCGTGGCAATCTCGAATGTTCCTTTATTCAATTGATGTGTGAATTGTCTTTTTCTCCCCCGCCTTTTTTTTTTATATAAACCAAGGGTGTATAGCGATTGCAAAAATCGATTGATTGGTTGGTTGCCCTGAAAACATGGATGTTGTCGATTGTTGAGTCAAGGAATTATCATATATATGGTTCAAACGTTTTTTCGTATGGTACATGAAAAATTGGTCCTTCTCTTTTCTTTTTTCGCACCCGTACGCTGGTTTATGTTGCACCAATCGGTTGTCCAACTTGCATTAAGTTTATAAATATCGTTTTTTTTAATAGAGCGAGGGTAGATTAGATGCATGCATATCGAGTTGTCTTACACCGTGTTGGAAACAAATCTTGTGCACGCATGTGTACAAATGACCAAAATGGGGCGGTCATCACGTATACACATGTCTGCATGATCTGTCTTCAACCCGACCACTCACTGATGTGTGAATTGGGACTTTCTCACGAGACATGGATGTTGACCTTCCATTTTGGATCACCGACCGTGACTGCTTGAGGGACCACGAGTACCGAAGGTACTTGGAACGAGCACCTCCCTCGTCAATCGAAACTAAGGCTTCCGATATTTCCTTGTCAAACTGAGAGCGATAGGTTGTGTGCATGGGACTTCCAACAGGCCATAGGCCAAAATCCTCAAATCCCGGATTACCCCGACATGAGTAACCACCAGTATTACGTGGAGTCGAGATTCATCGCCATCGAAACTAATTTTCCTCCCTTCTATCTTTTTCTTCCCTATCACAATCTAACAGTCACACATGCGCGCGGGGGTAATTTTCCTCCCTTCTATCTTTTTCTCATGTTAGAAGGGAGCAAATCTAACAGTTACCTGCTTTTTTTTATTTTTATTTTTTTCTCTCTCACACACACACACACACACACGCGCGCGCGCACGTTGTGCCACAGAAAAACAAGTGTCTAAGTTTATTCTTTCATATTCTAGCGGTAGATTCATTTGATTTTGCTCATTCTATCAATGAAAGTACCATGAGGCCAGCCGCGAGGTTGGAGACTTACTTGTTCTCTCTCTCTCTCTCTCTC